TGGTAAAATTCTTATAGAGTAGTTTGTCATAAAAATTCAACTAACTTAAATTGAATATTAAAAAAATAAAAATAAAAATACTTAAAATTCTAAATGTGGTGACTGTCATATTGTGATAAAGAAATTTACGTAACACCACTAAACTTCAAAATTATCATAAAAACCATATGAAAATAAATACAAACAATGGATACAGTTACTTTACTAGCACATACTCATGATTTCCAACATAAGTGAAAGCAAGCAAAGCGATGTATCATCTCCGCTCATTTCAAGCTTCAATTCAAGATAATCAGTTTAGTTGCCCACTGACAAAGACATCAAAAGTATCTATCAATATAATAAAACAGTTTAGGTATAAGTTAAAGACATAAAGGAGCCTTCTAATTAAAATTAAACAAACTTGTTAATCAGCAAAAAGCTTTGCATAACCTGCATTTTAGAGTATTTCCGTGCCCAACATCACTGGTTTCGGCTAGTATATACAAAATTCAAGTTATATTTAAACAAAATTACACCTCTGGTCTTCCGTTTAGCATACAAATCCCTGTCTCCATCCCGAAGCACGGGATCAAACGCTATGTTATTATGATCAATCGAACCAGCGCATCGTTTCTTCATGTTTTCACCTAGTTTCCCTGGTCGATGTGCCGCTCCGAACTGGGAAGTTCCGGGGATCATAGTGACACGAAGATTCTACCGCGAAGGCGGTCGCATGGCGTTTTGTCGCGAGCTCGACGAGGAGATGCAGTGTGAGGAGATTCACTCAGCGCGCATCAGTGAGTCGTGATTTTATCCATGGCAGGAATGTGGAGACAATTCTGAGCCGAGGGGACTGGGAGCCCATGGCTATGAGGACTCCCAGGACGAGCTTCCAGGGAAGGAAGTGCATGGATTCCGTGACCCAGTTCACAGGAGGAGGGGACGTGCAGCATCGGAGACTCAGGTCCCTCCTGGAAGAATGCAGGCGAATGTGGCATCCGCGTGGCGTGACCCAGCACGGAACCTCGGAGCGAACCTGCTCCGCAACCTCGTGCGCTGCGAGACAAGCTGTAGTTGTCGAGGTTTGGGAGCTTCCGTGGTACCGAGAGGACCACGGTCGCGGCACTGCTGTGCTTTAGCGCGACCTGTCGACATCCTCGCGGTGGAATGGGGCTGCGGGATGCACCCTCTCGCGGACCCTTGCGGCCAGTTTTCCACCTCCGCTACGGCAGCGCCAGAAACAGTTGCTGTGGGTGCGCGATCCGAACAGCACAGCCCGAAAGGGAATCGTTTCCAAGGGCCGCCATGCGCAAGGACCCGGGGAGGGGGTCCCTGTCACGCAGCCCGGGAGAAAGCGAGGGTGGAATCAAATGGGAAACTGCATGCTTAGCTTGCTTGTGCCTATCTTCTTCTGGGTCTCTCCCTGGAATGCTCGTGGAATGCGCCGCGAACATGCGCTCGCTTCTCAGATCGTACCACGAACGGCAGCAATTGAGAGAACGATTGAGAGAGAGAGAGCGAGGCAGGGCGAGCGATTGAAATAATGGCGATGGCGGAGGTTCGACGGGGCCGCGGAATCTTTCCACTCCATCGCGTCACCTGCAATGAGGAAAGACATAGTGACAAACAATACAGACCTAGAAACACACACCAGATAAAAATAAAAATAAAAATAAAAAAAAGATTCAGCAATATCTCTATTACAGAACACGTAAGGAGTATAAATCAACGGGATAAACCAGAGAGACAAATTGACTGGATTTCTTAATCTTCATTGTTTTCACAAGGTCTTAATAGAACCAATTTGAGACTAAGGTGACATCTTAGAGCTTACGTAGAAGATGATTACAACCTCTTTTAGAACTTGAAGGTTTCTTTTATCTGCATTCTTTGTTTTGTTAAGAATTCCACTTTCTACATCATTTTTGACATGCATGAGAATTAGAGCTATTTTCAAGAATCCCTTTTACCACGTCAAATCTACATTTCTTTAATCAAAAAAGAGTTTTTGTGTTGAACGTTTGGTGCCGTGGTGCTTTGCCAGGTGTGTGACATAATAGATATTTCAGTTTTTTTGATCTCTTTCCTTTGTAACCTAGACAATTTAATTTCCTATTTTCTTTTAGAAACTACAAGTCTTTTATGTGTTTTATAATAGAGATGTGCAGTTGCATTGTCTTGAGTCATATTCTCTCCAACTTCACGCTTTTATTATTGGAGTATTCACCATGCAAAGCTTTGTATTGTGCCTCAATAAGTGTGTAATAAAAAGTAGCTCAATTTGGTTGTACTTGATCTATAGCAATGGTGATGTCAAATGACCTAGAAAATGTTGATAAAAGCCTCTTACAATTGTTTTCTGAGGTTGACCTCACTGCTATGGCATGTGTTGAAGAAGAAGATGAGATTAAGTAAATGTTCTTTACAATATTAATAGATTGAATTGAATGAGACTATATAAGAAAAGGTGGGTTTACAAGAATCACATACTGACAAGGAAGATAATATTGAGATGGGTGGTTTGAAGAGATTTGTAACTTAGAGAGTTGAATTATAAAACAACATATTTTTGTGAGAATGGCACAGGTTCAACTAGTAATTTTATAGTTTTAATCCTTCAATATACTATTATTGTGTGAGATGTGACGTAAATTTAATTCAATTTTCTCCCTCCAAATTTTTATTGTTGTTATTATTCTTATTATTATGATCATTTTTGTATAATATAAGCTCGTACAAAACATTCTTTTATTATCCATGGCATGTATTACAGGTTTTTATTGCAAGAACAACTTCTTCATTCAAAAGATGTTATTTTTTAAAAAAACTCAGTAGAAATTTAATAGGTTATGTTTCAAATGAACTAGAATGTGTATTTTGATGATGTTGTTTTAGCTTTGAATACAACAACTCTTGGATGTCATGTAGCAGATAGATACTAATTTTTTTCTATATTAATAAATAAATGAATATAAGTTAAAGATTATCTTAACAAAATAATTAAAATTTTACTTTCACATCTTTTATTTTTGTCGAAATTCAACATGTATAATTGAACTTTGCATAAACCACCTCTTAAATAAACTTTCAAACACAAGAAATACACAATCATCATGTATATATAACTGTGTAAACGTAATGGTTAACAATGAAATAATTAACATTGAGTTTATTGTTTGCTACCATTTTAACATTCATTATTGAATAAATTATTATTATTTGAATGGATAATAAATAAATAAATAAATAAATAAATAAATAATAGCTGGGTTCCGAAATTTTATATTACTCCAAAAATGAAAGAGAATCTTAAATTAAATTGAAAATGAAAATGGTAGATTGGCTCTGCAGGTGAGTACAAACTAGTTCCAATTCTAATTGAAGGTATTCCTAGATGAAATAAATTAATATTGGAAAATTTTCATAGAAAAAGAAACTATACGTTGAATAATCAACTCTAACTAAAAAAAAAAAAAAAAAAAAAAAAAAAAAAAAATAGAACATTAAACTCAAAAAATGCTGAATTCCATCTTTTTGCCACTCTAATGACATGTCTTTTAATTAACAAATTTTGTTGGTGGTTAATGTACACAATGGAAAGAGTTTTGGGAACGTAGTTTGTGAGGACCTGGATTTTGGGGACTTGGGACCTTGAAATTTGGGGACGTAGGAGGGTTGGGGCAGCACTGCTGGCATGAAGTCCTGCATTGTGGTGACGTGGAAGGACACCTGTCAGTGCGGAGAATGACCCACATGCAGAAACTGGGCGGAAGCTTCCCTATCTTGGCTTGGACAGTGGGACACCTGTCACGACAGGACTTGACATCCATGCTGACGTGGCCTGACAAGGATTTCACAACTCTCCCACTTGAATTTGTTCTTTGTGTCATAGCCACTATAAATATATATATATATATATAGTCATGCACTTTTACTTTTTGCTTTGTTGTTTTACTTTAATCATTTAAATGATCATTGTACCATTGAGGAATTCTCACTTTTTCTCTCAGCAAGGTTGTAAGATATATATTTGAAGAAAATAAGAAGATTATTATTATTATTATTATTATTTGATATTGCTATATTACTAACTTTTGAAGGTGTTTATGGTGGTTGAGGGGCCTATTGAATTTTATTGCTTCAGGGATTTATATCTCAAAGTGCTTTGAAGTGTGCAATTAAGTACACTTAGGTTCTATAAAGTACAATGAAATGTGTGTGTGTATGTATGTATGTATGTCTGTGTGCATCATTGTGGAATTCACATTTTAGTTCTGTATTTTCTGTTACAACAATGTAAATTGAACAGCTTTTGAACTTTAAATATCGATTCTAATTCAAACTTCAACCACAAGTGAGTTTCAAGTATGTTTCAATATCCACTCTACAATTTTTATTCATCAAGACATACTTTCAGTGTTGTAGTCACCGTTGCATAATTTCGACAACATCCAAACCACCAAATTATCTCATGATGTTGTGTGACTTCAAACACCAATAGCACAAAAATCCGTACTACCACAATCGATTGTTTCCTTTTTGTTAAAACGGTGAGAATTAAAATAAAATCGTACTCCAAAATTTTATTGAATTCATAAAACTTTGCAATTTCACACAAGATATACAAACAACTCACACACACAAAAAAAAAAAAAAAAAAAAAAAAATCGCTAATCACAGCAGCCAACCATCAACTGACACACTGACTCTCAGATTCAAACACTTCGATAGTTATTCCATATCATTTCTACTTTCAGTTCCAGTGCAATCACAAACCCAATTAAGAAGTAAGGCATATTAGACAATTAAGTGTAATGGGCCACAGTTATGCAGCTTTAGAGAATGGGAAAAAGGGTTGAATTTTCAAATGTGGCTCAAGCTCGCATGCGAGGCAGTTCCCAGTGTGCGACGAGGCGCCGTCGCGACGCGCACGCGCTCTAGTTAATCGAAGCAATTGAACGAGAAAATGGCTGATAATTCGCGGGCTCTGTCGGTGTTCGGCAGGGCTCGGATAGCGCGCAGCCAGCGAGCGAGCCCCCATGCAGGAGGGCGCGACACTGAGGTTAACTCGGAGACGAGTACCGAAAACTTTCCAAGTAGGGGAGGCGCGCTAGGGGAGAGATTTCGAGCAAGTTTGGGCACCAAAGCAATCCCGCACTTGTGATGGATGTAGAACAAGGCAAAAGCGAGCTGGGGGGAACTGTCACGTATTCTGCGGCTGGGTTTCGCGAAAGCAGGGTGGATCTATCCGTAGTTTCATACCGGCAGTCGAATCTTCAACCCCCTCACTAGCATGGCGACGCCTGTCCCGCTCCCACTTCAATAAAACATCTCACCGCCATCTTGGCCGATGCTCTCATGCCACGGAACGCAGAATTTAAGGAAGTCCATGGCGACAGAAGCCTATAATTAGCCCGCGCTGTTGGGTTGAAATTCCGTTTTCGGGTGTGTGTGTGCTAATGTGTCTCATCTGGAGGTGCGCTAAGTGAGAGGAACGTAAATTTCGTGCCAGCGGACGGAATAGTACTCGAAGTACAAGAGTAGAGGTACAGGTACGTGCGGCATTGGGTCCTCTGGTGGCGACGTGACAAGAGAGCCCTACCATGAGAATGGATTGATCAGATCCGGCGGAGCATGTGGACATTGAATTAGAGCGCAGTGGGTGTCAGCTGCGTTGGAAGGGTGCTCGACATGACCTGCAGAGAGGAAGGTGCTAGGAGCTTTTAAGATCAGCTCTGGGTCCGTGGACGTTGACACTAATTCGACACCGCAGAAGAGTGATGGCAAAAGATGGGCTTGTTCGATGCGTTATCCCACCTGTAGACTCAATTATCCTGATGATGCTGTAATTAGGCCATGGTAGGGCAGGAGCGAATGATACTGCGCGAGTAAAAATAAGTTTCCCGTGGATTGCCGGATGCTGCAAAGGTTGGATATTAGAATTGGGGAAAAACCAAAAAATATGAAATAAAACTCATGGACTCTTTATCTCTTGTCGTTGCCGGTGGTAGTGTACGAAATTTGAAGGTTCGGGGAAAAGCTTGAAAATACGGATTAGCTAGTGCAGGTTAAGTGAACCTCTGCCAATGTTGTGGACGTTTTTGTCCGAAGGGAGTGGTTTGCGAGTATATTATTGCTGTCCATGCACAGGCTCTCCGTGTGCCGAGCTCATTTGAGTTTCAACTTGCGATCGAATCATCAAGGAGTTTCTACGAGATCTGGTAGCGCAGACTGCATCTGCAACTGTCGAGTTTCAAGCGCCTGGTCTTGAGCCCTGACTTGCACTTGAACTTCCGAGCTTGCGATTTCCTTCCCACAAGTATGTCTTCTTTTCATTTGTATGTTTGGAGCAGTTGCAAGCTTGTCAGATGTGGTTGTGTTAGCCGCGACGAATCTTCTCATCTATGTGTGAATCGGCATTTGGATTTGCAGCTCATGGGGAATTCAGCGGCTGGTCGCTCTAAGACTTCGGAGATGAAAAACGGAGACTGCAGCAATGCAAAGTCGACGGCTTATGTGTCCCTTGCCGCACGTAAACTGAGCTTTCTGGGCGCGAAGCGTAGATTTGTGGGAAGTGCGAAGAATGTGCTGTTCGGGACGGTTCTGAATGTTCTGATTGTGGCTGTTCCCTTAGCGATTCTCAGCAATTACCTCAGAATTGGAAATGTGAGTCACCTTAAACAAACAGAAAATTCGATACTGGTAGCTGTAATCTGTACTCTTACATCTATTTCCACTAGATTAACGTGACGAATAATGTGGCTATCCTTAAAGCTAACAAAATGTTCGAATGTTGTGGTTTTTGCAGTCGTGGGTTTTCGGCCTCAGTTTGATAGGAATCATCCCCTTGGCGGAACGACTGGGATTTGTTACAGAGTGAGCTTATTCACCTGGTCGCGTTTCTTCCTGATTCCCATTTGTTTCACGGCTTGCGATAAAGTATCGACTGGCAAGGCCAACAGTCTTTGCAATCGTGGAATTGTGTCTGAATTTTGACTGATTCTATTGTGGGATTATGTCAGACAGTTGGCGTACTTCACGGGTCCCACTGTAGGTGGCCTGTTGAATGCTACCTTCGGCAATGCCACTGAGATGATCATCTGCGTGTTTGCGCTACAAAACAACATGGTCCGGGTTGTGCAGCTGTCGCTCTTGGGATCCATTTTGTCCAACATGCTGCTGGTTTTGGGGTGCTCTTTCTTGTTTGGAGGGTTCGCAACCTCGAAGAAAGAACAAACATTCGATAAGGTGATCATCGGACAGATGTTTCGGTTCTTTGCTAAAATAGCTCAAAATCTCTTTTCCTTCGAATTTCATGTTGGTCCGTTCTGGACTTTCCTTCTACGCAAATCATACCGTCATTCTAGTGACTTCTGCTGATGGTTGTTCTTTTCGTGGCGGTCACAGTCGGCTGCGCATTTGAATTCGAGCTTGTTGTTGATGGCCGTCATGTGCGTTCTCTTTCCTGCGGCTCTTCATGCCACCGGGACGGAGGTTCACCTGGGGCAGTCGGAGCTCACGCTTTCGAGGATCACCAGCTGTGTCATGCTCGTGGCGTACGCTGGATACATCTGGTTCCAAATCAGAAATCCTCTGTCTCTTTTAGAAGAGGTAACAACAAAGTCAAATCTTCTGATTATACTCAAGATTCGGCTGCTCACCAGTCAGTGCATGCTGGAAAGAGTCAGCTCGTGAGGGATGTATGATTCTCTGCTGTGAATGTTAAGATGGCATCTCTAAAATTGTTCAAGTAGGAAACAAACAAAACCTTGCCCAACGAATCTACTGAATTCTTAAGTCTGATTGTGACGACAGGATGTTGAAGCCGGTGAGGACGGAGAATCAGAAGAGTTTGAAGTCGATGCATGGAGTGCAGTTTTTTGGCTGGCCTTTCTCACTGTCTTCATATCTATTCTCTCGAAGTACATTGTTGATGCCATTGAGGTACGTCCGTGATGAAGTCACCCCCTCTGCAGCCCAGTATCACAATTGGTTTTGAAAAAACAACATATTCTATACCAGTCTCTCAAGTGAATCAAGTCTAGTAACATGTGATCCTGGCTAAGTCGTGCTGACAGGGTGCTTCGGTGGATTGGCACATACCCGTCGCTTTCATAAGCGTCATCATCCTGCCAGTTGTGGGGAATGCGGCGGAGCACACAAGCGCTATCATATTCGCAATGAAAGATAATCTGGTGCGTCTCCGACGCATCGTTGATTATCTTTCATCGTTGACACATTTTTATGACTCTTCCAGAGATGCTTTGTAGCTTATCGCGGTGGGAAAATGCTCGTGTAGAGGAATCACAAAGTCTTCCTGTCTGGATCCTCTGCCAAACACGCTCCTAGTTTTAGACACCTTATGACTGAGGTTGATTTCCTTCTACTGAAAGCTACTAACCGGTGGCTTGTGTCGCATGACCAGGCCCTCTCCTTGGCTGTGGCAATCGGTTCCTCCACCCAAATCTCCATGCTTGTGGTAAGACAATATATCCTTGTTCGAAACTTGTAGAATATGTGTAACTTCGAAAATCCACTTTGAGAACCCATTTGAAAGACCGTTCGAAATCAATATTCTTGCACTTGATGCAGATCCCTGTCTGTGTGATCCTGGGCTGGCCCATGGGAGTGACCTTGGATCTAAACTTCGAGTTATTTGAGACGGCAGTGCTCTTCATCTCTGTGCTCGTGGTGACATTCATGTGTCTGGTATACTTCACTCTCCTGCTATTCCATCAAATCCTTTTTTTCCCTAGCATTCAACAGGACTTCGCTCATCTTATTAACTCTACAAACAGTGCCGAAGTGTGAGAAATGAGCCTGGTTTTGAACGATGCTTCTAACTGAAAGGTGACATACTGCTGTGGTGTGATTTCAGGAAGGATCTGCAAATTACTTCAAAGGTGTAATGCTGGTGTTGTGTTACTTCATCGTGGGAGCCAGCTTCTTCGTCCATGTAGATCCTCCGACCCAGTTAAAACCTTCTGCATGAGAGACCCAGCGCCGTTGTAGAAATAACCTGAGCTTTTCCTCTTGTACAGTCAAGGCCGCTTTATCTTCCCTTCTAGTTGTTTATTAGAATCTATGTCAACACGAAGTGCTGCGGGCATATGAATTAGTCCCTTTTTCGTTTCAAGCCAATTGAATTGGCTCTCTTACCATCAAAGGATGGCAGTAAGAACAAATCTGATTAGCGATGAGTGCCAACAGAATCACCCCTGCACAATCACCGAACTCACGAGTGGTTCGGCAGCCAGGAACCAGATTTCGCTTCTGTTCCAATGCAGTGAAGCGCCGTGCTACGCTGCAATGGACATGACATAAATATATTGCTCTGACTTTGCTTTTTAAGTGTTGTTTATCTAGTATTTTGTGTTTGAATCCACCTTGTTTCGTTACTGCTGTCATACCTCCGAAATGGGGTTCGAAGTTGATGCTCTGGACAAAAATACGTGCTTCAAATCTATTTGAAATCGAAGAGATTGGTTTACATTTCGATTTGCTGGGTGAGATAAACAATGAATCACAGCCTAGACTTGAACATGAGTCATACATGCAAAATATCAAAACCTAGGTTAAGAGAAAACAGTAAAAGCTTAATGTGTTTATTACCACTGAAGATGAATTATGTGTTGTTGGGTTCACTAGTGTCAATGTGGTGAGAACTAAATAAATTATTACATCAGGAGACATGCTTTTATGTTTGTGAAGTTTGACATATAATAGCTTTTGTGTGTTGTGAATATGAGCATTTTGGGGGGTTATCTCATTTTTCATCATTTTAAATAGAACCCAAATACAAGTCCTGATTTTATGAATAAAAACTCAAAGTAATTTTTTTAAGTGAAGATTACTTTTATGAAAATAAAATGAAAAAACACATTCTTGTTGGTTATTGGTTAAAATAAATATGGATTATAAAAATAAAAAATAAAATAAAATAAAATAGATATTTTATGATGAATTTAAAATATTTATTAATAAATACATACTAATTAGGTATTGCACTAGTAATTTTTAAAATTGTAAATACTTGATGCTTCCACAACCTAGTTGAAAATATTGTAGCTTATTTTGTAGCCAATAGAATGAATGCATACCAAAAGAAAATGAAAACCATGTTATTAAAAGCTATTATTACTTCTAAAGTTGTTGCAAAAATCATCCACTTCATTAATTGCTTAGTAGTATGTTGAAACATCTACAATTAAAGGATTAAATTTTAAAATGAAATGTAGAAACTCTTGCCAAAAAGCAATTAATTGAGCTTTGTTAAACATTCTCATCAAAAAAGAAATAAAATATGATTTGAAGATCAATAAAAATGGCAAGCTTATGCAACTATTCTTTATATCAAAATTCCTAACGAGATTTCCAAAGAAAATTTATCAAATTTTGTCAATCTTCTTCATTGCATGTACAAGACAAACAAGTAAGATTCCAAAAAATCATGTTGTGTACATTATCTCATCTTCTTACTTACTTCCAATTATTTTTATGCTAGATAAGTATCACATGCTCTTGTTGCATACAATAGGATTTTTTTCCACTAACCAATTTTTTATTATTTTATTATTATATGAGTAGTGAAGAGGAATTATAGTATAGATGGATCTTAGAGCAAGTTAAGGAGTATTTTGGTACTACCTTTTTTAGGACTAGCTAATTTTTTTTACAAATTAGAAACGAGCCTTAATAATTGCCATCCAAAGTGTGTTCCTAAATACCAAAAAGTTTCTTTGCATTTGGCATATTCAAAAGAATGACCTTACAAATGTGATACATATCATTATAGAAAATTACAAGTTTAACAAGTTCATAAAGATGTGACAAAAGTTATTCTATAGCCACATAAAAGACAAATGTAAAGCCATATGGGGCATTATTAAAGTATTAGTGGCACCAACTATATAAGAATATCTAAAAAACAAGTGAATAATTTCATGAGGAATTTTCTCATCTAGATAATATTACATCTTACATCAAGAAAATATATGCAATTGTCAAAGCATAGATAAAGGTCTTGACAAAGAATCTTCTTGTCATATGTAAGAAATTAGAAATTTCAAACTCTTAAAAATAATATGCCATCATCAAAAAGTTTTGAAACATTAATTACTCCTCATAAAAAAAATAAAAAAATAAATCTACTTTAGAACAAAGTATTGCTAAGAGTGTCTTATTTTGCATTGATATAAGCATGATCATAGTTCTTTTTTATTTTTTATTTTTAATTAAATTACGAGATTTTAACCATTTAAATGCTCCAATAGACTTTCAAGAAATATTACAATTTGGAAAATGTATTCTTTAAAGAAAACACTTGAAAGTATTTTTTATTTTAATCACAAATTAATCTTGTCTTTTATAAAGCATCTTTATTCTTTAGTATACTTAAAAAACAAGCTTAATATTAGAGCATGAAGTACTTGTTGAAGACTCATTAAGATTGATTTGACTCTAATTATTCCTCTAGTCTGGAAATAATAATAAAGCTATTATAATTGGCTAAAGTAAATATTCTATTATTAGTATTTTATTATATTACAAAAAAAATTAACTAAACCATTTAGGTATTTATGTATGCAAATGCACAATATAATTTTTTTCTTAATATGAATTCTAGAATTTACTTTGATGCCACCACTTTCTAAAAAAGATTATTTTGTTAGTCAATGTAATTATAATATACATCAAGCAATCAGATATAATAATGATAAAATAAATAGGATTAACCATACAAAAACATTCCAACTTTAATCAATGACAAGTATGAGTTGTAGCAAAGGTAGTAAATCAAACTTGCTAAACATCTAAGGAATAACTTAAGTTTGCAAAGTCTTACAAAAAATTTCAAATAAAAATCTACATTACAAATCTTAAGATCTATGATGTAAGCAATATTTTTATTAAATATAAAACATTAAAAACACATATTAACAATCTGATTTCTTTACAACAAGGAGAAGATCGTATAATTTCTTTCATTTGCTAAAATATTTATGCCACATGTCAACATAGACAACAAAATCAACAAATTATTATTCACCTTTAAAATAAAATATTAGATGTAAAAAAATAAAAAAATACTACACCATTGAAATAAAAAATTAAGATTTATATATATATATATATATATATATATATATGCCATCCATAAACATAATACTAAGTGGAGAGTTGATTCTTTTTGAATGTTGTTGTTGGCCAAAGTACAGCTATCTTTCAACAACTTGTCAACAAAAATAAGCATAATGCCCTCCTTATCTTAAATCTTCATCTTTACCTTATCTTTGGTATTAGAGCTCTCCACCTCCAACATGATCATCTATCCAATCAAGGTTTTTATAAAAACTTGTACATATCTCTTCAGTCACAACACTAGATAGAGAGCGGATTTCTTTTTTATATTGTAATTAGCTAATTTGCAACCATCCTTGAGGTGCTTATTTGCAAAAATAAATCTCTGATGTTTGCATAAAATGTCCTCCCTATCCTAAAACTTTATCTTTATATTGACTATAATGTTGAAGCTATACACTTCTAAAATAATTGTCTTTCTTGTGAAGATCTTTGCAATAAGGTGTAAGGTCAACTCTTTTTGAATGGTTTAATCTATAAGATTTTTTTTGTCTTCGAATTGCTCATAAGAAAAAATCAACTTCTACTAATTGGAAGAAATTTCTTTATTTTCTTGGATTTTTGTCTTCACATTGTCAATAGTATTAAAGTTTTTTATTTCTAATGTACTTAACTTATTGGTCAAGGTCTTTACAAAGATCTCCAACTTTACTATGTTCTATTTTCTTTTCTATAAAATAATATACAATAATTCTTATCTATACACAATAATTTTCAAGGTATGCAATTCTTACATAATAAAAAACAACTTTACTTAGAAGAAACAAAGAAGAATTTAAATAAATGTATCAATCTAAGTGACTTTGTTATTGTATGTAATAATTAGCTTAAAAATTTACTAGGCATTTAGTTATGGAAGGATTCGATCTTATTTTAAAGTTAGATTTATAATCCCAAATAATGAATAAGATGTTTAGAACCATTTTTTGGGAAATTTTGAAGAACTTAAAAAAAAAAAAACTTCCAATTATCTTCAATACACCCTTTCAATTTTAAAAATTCCTATTCATATCTTATTATATTCTAATCAATTTCAGATAAATCTTAAATAATCTCTAAAAATACTATTTAAATCCTCAAAAAAAACTTACTAATTTTAAATATTTTTTTAAAATCTTAAATACATTATAAAGAAATTTAAAAGAAAAATTTAAAAAATCTTTAAAAAATTCTAACAACCTTTAAAAACAATCTTAAGTAAATATTTATTGAATTCTAATAAAATCCTATAAGAAATTTAAAATCTCAATAATTATTAAATAAAACTTTAATCTTAATTCAAAGTATTTAAAAATTTTAAATCTCTTAGTTAAAAATAAGTACACAAAATTTTAAAAGAATTAAAATTACCTATTGGTGGAAAAAACACCTTTCTAATTGAGTATTGGAATCACAAAGAACATTAATAATTAGGAAGATAAAAAAATAAAGTAGAAGTAAAATTAAACAAATTTGCTAATATCTTTTGAGGAAGCTTCTTAGAAGCTATAGATGTGGATTTGACTTTACAAGTGTTTGTAGATAATTGGTCAGTTGACAACTTTGCCAACAAGTTGGCCATGTATTGCATATCTTGACTACTTATTTTATAAATTGGATACATGGCGTTTATGTTGGCCACTTGTGGTACAACTTGACCATGTGGTGCATATGTAGGAAACTTATTTTGCAAGTTAGATACATATTGGATAACCTATAAAATATTTTCATGTAGTTCCTTAGTGAGATAGTATATATGGAAGCAATATTGAGGTCTTCCTCACTTTTATCAATGCCTTTCTTGTATTTTTGTCTTAACTAATGAATTTTTAGTCTCTTTATATTTAGCAATAGCTATTTTAACTTCTATATTATCTCTATCTTTGATTTGTCTACTTTCTTTTTTTTTAGTATCACAAGATTGTATTATTTCTTTAGGATTTTTTTATGATTCATATTCTTGACAATAAGTTGTCTTCCTTCTCCAACCTTAATATTAATCTTCAACTATTAATAGTTTTTTTCTTGATTTACTTATTCTAAAAATTTATAAAATATTTAATATAAATTCAAATATTAGCTTATAAAAAATAACTTCAATCCAACTAGCATATTACTCAAAATAATAGAAACTCTCATTGATTCTAAAATTCCAATATCCAAGACTCAAATCTACTTGGATTTTAATATCCTTCGATTTAATTGTCCAATTAAGCTCAAACTTAAAATATACATCTAACATAATTATATTCACAAAACTACAAATTTATATTTATTATTTTTATAGAAAATTTATAAAATTCTTAAAATATAATAATCTTTTTGGATGTAGAATTCTAATCTTTAAACATTTTATTTTAAGAATATAGAATTCTACATCCTCAAAACAAAGATTATATTGGATTATATATTTTATTAGAAGATCTAATACTTTATTTTGAGTTTCAATTTATAATCCAATCTTAGTCATTTAAAAAAACCATTTATTTAAAATACCAAAGAAATAAAAAAAAAATTAAAAAATGTATAAGAATTAAAACTTAAATTCTTTATTGAAACAAAAAAGACTTGAAAAGAATATAATCTAGAAAAATATTAATAAAAAAAACTAATATACCAAATAAGATTTGTAAAATCTATCTAAGTTTTTAGCCTAATTAAGCTTAAGATAAATCTTTTCATAATAATGACAAAGCTACTTTCTTTAAAGATATGTAATAAATTTAATCTTTAATTCTTTTAACTATGAATAAAAATTTGGCTAAGAAATAATGACTTACTTGAAAAAATTAGAAAGAAAGATCTAAAAGACACTAAAATACGTTGGAATCTAATTCAATCAAAATGGAGTGGGATTTCAAACCAAAATTTTAATTTGATTAAAAGAGCATGTGATTCAAATTTAATATTCTTAAAGAAGGTATGTTAATATGGCTAATATTATACAAGGGAAGTAGCAATGCATAAACAAAGAAAAAAAGTCATCACTAATTTATCTAATTATTATCTCTTGTATACACAACAATCACTTCAATTTATTATACATAATTTTAGAAATGTTTCCAAACTAAAAGGATACAAAATTGGACCACATCATTTTCATACAAAATAGTCCCTAGTCCATGGGATTGGAGACTAGAGAGAATATTTTCTTAATGAAAAAATATTTTTACAATCAATTTACTACCATTGGCAAAAACTAAAAGACTTAGAATTGTTTTTGTCACTTCTAAGAAATATTAGCTTACAGAACATATAGATTGAAAGAATTGCAATGATTTCAAAGAGAAAACTTGTGATGACACTTAAACACAACAACAACTACAAACAGGACTAATGGCATACAGATAGCTGATGTAGGAAAACACAAACAAAAATAAAATAAAACATCCATAGGAGGTACCAATTTTCAGCAATAAATGAGATAACTCTTTGATAGCCAATAACAACTTAGATAGAAAGAAACAAGATTAGACTGCATTCTAGTATTCCACAGAAAAATTTAGATGTTCACACACTAAATGCAATCATACTACAGACATGAAGTGAACGATTACTAACCCTTTTTCTTCTGATGTTAGCCCAAGAGAAGTATCAAGGTTTAAGAAGTCTGTAACTGCCTTTTTATTTTATTTTATTAATGCAACGGCTTTACCCCATTCTTGTCAATAATCAAATTAAATAATAATAATAATAATAATAATAAACAAAATTGCATGAACAGAAACCCTACAAATCCATGTTCAAGAACATCAAAGGTCGCGGTTTTCTGTCTTCAAAAAGCTTTTGCCGAGAGGTCGAAAGCCCGTCCGTTACTGCAACCATTGGGACAACGATCCACAATTCTAACTGTGATGGGGCCGCCCCAGCATCCCTTGCCCACGCACCTGATTCTGAACTTCTTGCCGCAGTTTTTCCCACCGTTCCAGAGGTTAGCGCTGCTGCTGTCGCCGGCTGCTGCAAAGTACTGGTTGGCAGGGAATTGAGCTTGATTGAAGCCGAAGCACGCCGAGGCTACAGAGGCAGCGCACCACAAATCAATCGTTGGAACTTTGCACAAGTGCGTCGATCACATAACATCGATTAAACTTAGACCACAGCTTACATGCCACACATGTAAAATCGTCGGAACCCATGTCGGACTGTGATGTTAGATGCGTTTCAGCATGTGAAATGAGGGACAACAAATGAAACTCCGACTCTTGCTGATGCTGGAGGAATCGGGGAAGGAATGCGATATCCTGGCAATGCAGAGAACTTACGAACATAAGGCGGGGTGTAGTAGGATGCGTTCCCAGTTCTCTCAGACGTTGGGGAGGGCGTGGTTGGGGAGGGTGTAGATCCAAGACACTGGCTTTGGCAGCCACTCCCGCAGTGAGTCCGTGATATTCCACAATAACCATATTGACTGCAGCATTTGCCGCCGGCGCAGAGAGCGCCTCTGGCCTGCCTACCGCAACGCTGAGCTGCGATCGGGTGCAGTAGGGACAAGAGCAAACATACGGACGCCAAGAGCGTCATGTGTTGTTTCCGAGCCATCGCCTGAAAGTCCTCGTGTCTCTTCTATGAACTTGGATGTGGATGTTCCGAAATCTGATTTCCAAGTGCTACAATGTGAGGCACGTCACTCAATGCTTCATGAAAATTTATCCCCGCGCATGCACTCGACAACGGTTCAGCTCCACAGTGAAGCAAAAAGTGCCCAAAGGAAAAAGGAAAGGGGAAGAGGATGCATCATACCTGAAAGAGAAGCGTTGCTGGATGCACTTGACTTGCTTTGAGGGGTGGTTCTTGCATATTGAAGAGCAGGTCTGCCCGACTATATATGCCAGCTTGGTTCGAACCAGCTAGGAACTTACTCGGAGATGGAATGCATTCCTACTTCTTCCATTGTGACGCAATCGCGACCCCGCTCTGACGCATTCCCCTGCTGCAGATCACAGTGATGGCAGCATACCGCTGATTCGATTCGTTCTGCCGTGCTCCCAGAAAGCTATAATGTCAAACAGAATCAGTAACAGTCGGCGTGACTGAGTTGGATGTGGGTGGGTGAGATTGGTGCTTGATGTCATCCTATGATTTGAGATGCTGAGGCCCACCCGTAGATGGAACAGCAGCGTCGAGAATGTGTCCAGAGTATTTCCCAGTACCTCATCGCATTCCCCGCACATACGCCACGTACCTGTAAGTCAACCACGTTTGTGAGTAAATTTACTCCTTGCACACTGGCAAACCGTAAGGTATGACATGCACCATGTCACACACTACCCTTTGTTTCATGTGTGACTGGGTCCCAAAACTAAATGGTGGATGGAAACTCCTGCACTCATTTTGTACACTAGTAGAATATGAATGGTTCGGCAGAGGTAGTTCGCAGGAAATGGTTGGCAGAAGTGGGAACCTCGGGCAGAGGCCAGTCACCAAGCGTACCGTAACAAACTAGATTGGAGGATTTTGCCGAAAACGTTGACCGAGATCTACACGGCATTGTTTTGAAATGAGGGTGAATCTCTTTGCGCACACGAGAACGTGTAGAGTACGTGGAATTCAAAATCGACTTGCACGAGAACAGTAGAAGAAGCAGAGATGGAAATCGTGGTGCTCGCTGAAGATGAGCACTAGCGTGAGAATCACAAGTCGAAATGAATGTGTCACCCTTCCACGAAGACATGAGATGTGTCTCCTGAACCTGGAGTGGTCGCGAATTATCATTCCCCCGTCATGAGAATTTAGTTGTTATTCATCATCTAGTGTCTGTAGAAGTTTACTGATGAGACACAAGATCCAGCTAGTTGCTCAATACTTAAACGTCCATGTTGTGCGCTGGGGGCTCGATTTCGGAATCCACTGCTCCGATTACTCAACAAGAGAGCGTTCAGGAATTCAGACTCGACAATCCTGAAGGATAAAGTGGACCAGTCGTGCACAATGTTGGTCAAAGCCGTTTGTGTGCGGCCCACGTTTGTCGAACAAGACATTCACTTCTTCATCGAAGTCCGAAAAGTCGACTCTTTGCCTTGTATACCAAGAGTAGGCTTGTATTTTGGACTGAAATAGCTAAGACTTCGGCTTAGAAAAGAGAAAAAAAACATTTGATGAGGAGATGAATAATATAGTGGCATCACATGAATTTCTAGTCAATGAACATCAGGTTTTAATTGAAGTGAATTTCTTGTCAATGAACATCAGATTTTAATTGAAGTGCACTTTGTTTAACTGGTTTCACTAATTAGCCCAGATGGAACCTGCAGTTGAATGTGCTTGAATGGATTGTCATTCTCATGGATAAAATTTGGATTAGTAAAATGCATTGATTAGTTGAATTGTGCAAGATTTATGTGAAACCTTGCAGTTTTTGTTGGGCCCTTTTCTTCACTTTTGGATTTTAAACTTAACTTCATTCTAATATGTAAGTGTATTTAATTCTTTACTTGGATGAATATTAAATTTAATCATTCATTTATTCTAGTGCCTAGTTTTGAGGTTGATTCTTGATGGCTATATGTAAAAGAATATTTAGCACTGTTGATAAATTAATTTATCTAATATGAGAAATTTTATTTCTTGGAAAAAAAAAATGATGGTAAAAACATCTCTTACATAACTTTTAACATAACTTTTAATTTCATTTTGTATATACATGTTATCAAGGACATGTAACTTACCATAAAAAAAATTACAAGTAAATATTTTTGAGTTCTAGTAGTTTTATGTATATATATATATATATATATATATATATATATGAACAATGGCCAAAAGTAAATAAGTAAAGAATGGATGAGAGAATTTTGCTCAAACCAATATGGTTTGCAATAATTTTGCAAAACAACTTAATTTAACTGTAGTGGTTTTTTTGGAGTAGTTTTCAGATGAAAACAGAAATTGTTATCCATACACAAATTAATTTAGTAAATAAATCGAATTTAAAATAACATTTTTTTTTTCCAGAAACAATTTCATGTTTCTAGTGTTTTCTTGCTCTTCTACTAGTTTCATTATAATCTTCCATTACTCTTCCAGGTCTACTTTCTTGCCCTCCTTCCATTCGTTTCATGATCTATTTTTCTTTCATGCGAAAGGAACTCTGTCGTTCTATAAAACTGTACACAGGAATATCCATGGAAAGGTGGCAGCTTTGACCACCCACATGGCTTGGACAGATAAACAGATAAAATACACACAATGAAATATAAAAACATACATCTTTTAAGAGTGAGGACTGTAGAATCTTGAAATTGTCTCTGTTGCTCAATGTTGGAGGGAAGTTGATGCCCATATGTTAAACAACAAATCAGATGTTTACTGCCTACTCAAAGCAGTAATCTATGCATAAACTGGGCAAAAATATCTCCAAATGCGATCGGACTTTTTAGATGCTTTTTGTCGAGATCGAGATTGGACTGATCTGTAACTGAAGACCGATTCAACCGCTGACATTATTAGGGCAATTAGTCAAACTTTCAGATTGGCAGAATTTAGGCAGATACACAACGCTCTAGGTACAAAGAAAGATGAAACATTCAATGTCGATAAAATAAAATAAAAATGCCAAAGGATGGAAAGAGTGGCTCATAACTCTTCCGAAAGCAGTGAAGCATGTTCTGTCATACACAACTGCTCACCAATTTAACCATCCAAATATGAGAAAAGAAACAGGGGACGGTGCCAACTCGATCTCACAAATAATGACAATACAGAAGCAAGCATTTACAATTGAAATTGTGAGAGCTCCTTGAACTTTATGTTCATGTGAGTATATCAAAAAAGGTAAGCATTCCAAGGTGCAGGTATACCCTGCCTTCTGATGTGACATGATACTCGTATCACAACCAGTTGTTATGCCTAATGCCCAAGTAATTTAAGAGGAAATGAAAATTGACGGGAACACCAGCCAGATCCTCATTTGCCCCTAGTCTTGCTTCTTCGTTATGTTACATACCTGAGTCTTATGCGAGATTGAGAGACCAGAAGTATCTTTGAGCGTGTTGGAGGAGGGCCGATGAGTGCACCGGCTCATTACTGAACTAAGCTTAAACCATCGTTCCCTCTGTCTCGATTTCAAAGACGAAGTCTCCATTCGCTTGGCTCATCGCTTCGTTCAATACGGCGTCCACATCCACGAACTTTTCATCGTTAGTTGAGCTCTACATGTGCACCAGTACCTGGTCAGGTCTAAAGCTATGACTGACGGATACAAACCGAGTGCAAGGATGCTCGGAAGCTGTACCCATCATTGATGTCAAACTATGTTTATCTGAAGATAGGAATGGCACACATGCTAAACATATCAAAACCCCTATAGCCAGGCATACATTTGCATTCATTTTCATTCATGTGCAAGACGTTCATAGAAAGAGAAACCCTGAAAAAATTGTGCAGTCAGGTATGTGTTTGACAAGGTCGTTGTACTTACTTGAAGCTCTGGCATTTCATTCATAACCTCGGCAACGACATCTCTTGTGATGGTACCTTGCATCTGTAATATTCCCATAGAAGCTATATCAGAATCATCATAAACTGATCCGTAAATATAGTCTTTGTGTACAAGGAAAATTCGGTAGTAGCAACCAGATAGATACTAGTCCATGGGCATTTCTTTTAGTGAGAAACATTTGAGAAACCAGGTGAGGTCAAATTGATGGCGTTCTCACCTCCCCAGTATCGTATTCTTTCTCAAACTCCTCCATTGTTGCGCGAGAAACCATGTTTTCAAACTCCGCACCCACATTCGCAATACCAGGAGGTGGCAACTTCGACTCATGGCTACTGCAACTTTGTTTGCCGTTACCATTACCACCACAGCAGCTGCCACTCCCTTCGGCCGCGCAGATTACCAGGCGAACGGTACTTCTTTGACTAAGACCTTGCACCTGCCACCTTTCAGGCTCAGTAATAGTCACTCACAAGCGAAGCAGGGAAATTCTTTTCCCTCTCATACTTCACAACGCTAAGCTAATGAAATCTTCGTACATATGTTTCAGAAACTCTACCAAGGGGCATCATGTGATTAATACCATGGCGGGCAATTTAAACTGACAAAATGAGTGAAAACTAGTGTGAACATTTGAATTGCTAAGAGTTGTGCTGAATTGTTCCTTGCAAAAGTGGATTAAGCATTTTTTTTATTCAACCAGTTCGCAATATGTTGAGATCATCCACAACTCAGCGTGTCTACGAGAGGTAGAAACGAAGACAAACCTTTCTTGGTACGACAGGGACAAAATTAACTGTAGCCGGCCTGCTCCCAATCTCCAGTGAAGAAGATCTTTGCTTAGCACAAGTAACGTAATTTGATGCTCGAAGGCATTGTGACTGGTAAACTTTCATCGCCATCTCTTATGTTTAAAAAGCTTCTGTTCCTGTATAAAATACCCAATATCTAACCTTAGTACTGGATATTGTACACACAGACCTTAAGGGCACCTAGATACATGCTCTACCGAAAAAACGACCTAACTAGACGAACTTCGACATCACCGCAGCCTCTACTTCCAAACTAAGCAACTCATTTGATCGTGTTTCAAATCTAATGGTAAAATTACAGAAATAGTATTTAAAACAAACGATGGAAATTCTGATAGTGTGTCGAAATGCAACGCTGACTTAGCAATATCTTTGATAAAAACTGCAATCCTTTTCACTAAGTCTGAACAATTAAGAGACCACTATATGCATCACCAGTATAAAATTAGTATGAAGCTCTTTCCAAATAGTTTTCATAAATGACACTGATTTGCGAAGAAATGAAAATGATCTCAATCCAATTAGACCAGACAGGATTACTCGATTCACACTGATTCTCAGTTACCCAGTTTAATAAATGCATTGTGCTTGCAAGGGAAATTTCATATCACCTGGAGCATGGTGCGAACTTCTTCTAAAACCCCAAAAACACAACGAAAACCAGGGCTCCCCACTAACTAAGCGCATTGAATGTATGCGAAAATGTTAAACAGAATGCCCACTATAACTGACCGAACAAATGTAACCTCCGCAACTGGACAAGGGAAAAAAACGCAACCGTTCTGAGCACCTCGAACTTCCAAAGCTTGCTGTGTCGAGAAGCAATCAACGACAGCGATCGTTGCGACTCGGGAATTAAATCGCTACGAATGCCAATGACAAAGAAAGACGACACAACCCAACAACATCAAACCCAAACGACGAGAACGACAGTGTGATTTTGTAACCTGGAAGTACCTATGAATGTGATGAACGTAGATAAGCTGTAAGGGCCCTGGAGTGAGGATTGCTTGAACAATGTATCCCATAAAGCACGTATGAGCTGCTCTAAGAAATTGAGACCCAGAGGAAAGCAAACAGCCCCCTGAGGGATGAGGCTATCACTATCCGCCTTCCTTGGACGACGTGGAGGGCTGCATTTGGTGGGTTGTATACCGGGGAGTTTAGGGACCTTTTGACGTGGCCAGGAGGTATATCAAAATTCGCACCAGCAGAGACACACTGGCGTAGTTGGAGACTATCAATGGAAGAGGAATCCCAGCAGCTCATTGGTGTGTATTGTGTGTGTCGATTTCACAATCTAGGTGGTTGAAATCTGGTCTCGCTGTTTTGGGCGAGGTTCAAATTTATCGCTTAGTGCAGCAGTTTTGAAGAAATTTCCCGTTTGCATGATGCGCGTCATTCGGATTCCACCAATGTAATGTATGTTGAAGCCAGCGCTGACCTTATGCAGTTCATCAAAATCGCACATGCTTCAAATCGTTTTCAGATTGTGCTAATGGTTCGAAGTGCTCGGAAGTGCATTCTGGGGCAGGATTAGATCTTGACGTGCAGAAAGTGAAACCACGGAATGCAGCGAGGGGACGTTTCGAATACTACGTCCTGATTATCCATGACAAATAACCAAGTTCGAATTAAAGTTCCGGAAGGAATATTAATGAACTCTAGGATCCAAAGTGCGAGCTGCAAGTGACATCCAGCCGCAGCGAGAATGACTTCAATTGTCAGGAAACGACACATTGAGTTGTAGGGAAACTTTTGGGGAGATTAAGAATCATACAAGGCGTAATGTGTTGAAGATCCTCAGGTAATGTCACAATGCAGATTCTGATTGCGAGAAATTTTCCATTATGAAAAAACCTGAATCAATAGGTTTCGCATAGCCTCGACAAGGCACACCAGAATAGTCCTATCAAATGACTACCAAAAGCCTAGGCGGCGGCACCCTTGCCCTTTTTCTTCTGGATCTTCTTCTGGTAAAACTCAAGCTCCTTACCTTCCAAGATGTACCTGCAAGAATTAGAGAAAAAAACATTAATGTCCGGAGAAAGCTGGTAACGATTACCACGTAGAGCAATAGGTCTCAATTTCACCATGACTTGTAATGCCTGTCTGCCATGATAACGGAGATATTTGCCAGTATGACCCTTTCCATACTCATCCCAGAACACACATATCAAAACATCCAAAATACTTCGCTGGCTCTACAGCTTCCGTTGATCACAATGACATACTGTTTCTAAACGAAAAGCTCGTTAGTAATTAAAATGATTGAACATACTCTCATTGGCTTAATACCAGAAATTTAAAATGCGTATTTCGTCTGATCAATTACATCTCTGGGAACAAGGGTCGTAATATCATCAAGGAGTCACCGAAGAAGCGTTTGGCCATGATACAGCCGACTGCTATCAAAGAAGCAAGTTAACCGTATCGCTCTAGGTGCGGTCATACTGCGAATACCTGGATAATACACCTTTGAACATCCAAATTCAGCGAAACTTCTTTAAGTTGCGTGACGGAGATATTAATTTTGAATATGGCGCACTACATGTGCGCAAAAAGAGGACGAGTGCCTACTGTGGGCGTCAAATTTGAGAATAAGTTATTAATTGCAGAGTGTAAATTTGTATCCGTGTCGTGTTCGTGCGATAGGACGATTGTCACTAGATTAAGATCTACATTAATTCGATATCTACTTCAGAAGGTAAGCGAGCGTACCCGTCAGCACGGCCGCACTGGCCAGGGCGGGAGGCAATGCAGGCGAGCAGCCTGCCGCTGGCAAACTGATCTTCCAAGTGGGAGTCCAGCTTCTGGCCCTCCAATCTCTTAGCCAGCTTCCTCTGCACGTGGGCGCTCTTCTTCTCTTCCTCTGTGGTTTCGGCGTCCTGCGAAACAAAAAAAGCATGTGAAATTAGCTTGAAGACCGGTTAATAAAATGTGTTGCATGAAGACCATTACAAAGTAACAACAGAAAAATCCCACATCCTAAGACCTAATCCTGAAGTAAAAAAATAGAGTACTCATTTAAAGAGAGTATATCATTAACACACTTGAAAATCACTGCAGCTCACCTCAGTATCCTTCTTGGCTGCCGCCTTCTTCTTCTTGCCAATTTCAACACCGTAGTGCTGGCTGTACCAGGTGCGGAAAGGAGCAGCATCAACTTGGATGATGGCATTCTTCACCAAAGTCTGGGTACGGACCAGCTCATTGTTGGAGGCATTGTAGACCACATCCAGGACTCTGGTCTTCCGGGTGACAGCCTCGGAACCCCAAGAGAAATTTCCTGTGTCCAAACGCAACGCCCGGAACTTAGAGTTACCGCCACGCACACGGATGCGCCTGACAGTCTTGTTGCTAGACAACTTGGTCATGGCACCTTGCCTTCCCAACTCGTACCTACAAAGCCGGCCCACGTAGTCAGAAAACCTCGCATATCATCCCAAAAATTAAAAACCCATAATCCAAGCCGGATGCGACAACACCAAACCCTAAGACCTCTAAAAACACCCCAAAACTAACTGATCTGAGTACGCATAGCATCGTGACGGAAACGGCAGCGAGGGCATACTTGCGCTTCTTGCGCCATGATTTCTTCTTTCCTCCAGTCGCCCGTCTCTTGTGAGTCGAATCCCGAGAGATACCTGCACATGCGTAACAATCATGCAAGTCACTCACACACTCGCACTTAGAGTTTCTTCAACACGGGTAACAAATTGCGATGCGAGTAGCAAGGACACAGAGCAGAGCAAAGGAAGGGAAGGGCGTGGTACCCATGGTTGCGGTGTGTGCTCGCAAGAGCTCCGGCGAGGTGGAGTCGCGCTTCGAAACGGAAAGAGAGCCTGCTGGATGGCAAGCTCACGATTTAGGGTTTAGGGTTAGGGTTTCGAGCCCGAGTTCTCTACCCACTTCGCCCTTCGTTCCGCCGGGTAGACCCGTTGCTTTCGTTCCCATTGCGATTTTTATCAATGTGGGCTTATTATTACTGTGGGTTAATAGCATTAAGGATAATTGAGAATTGCTATCCTAATCTAAACTGATATCCTAAATAGCTGATAATGGTCCTACACATCAGCTTTATTTTTATTTTTTTAATTTTTTTCTTTTTTCTTTTTTTCATTTGGATGATAATATTATTGTTGAGAGCTAGTCTTGTGATTGAGAGAATGTTGTTTACCAAGGTGTGTGATGTACAATATTTTTAATAATTCACTGCATTTTAGATTGCCAAATATTAAACAGAAATTAGCATCATGTGAGATATATATACTCATACACATATGCTTCTTATAGTATAGCTGTTTTAGATAGTTGATATTACAGATATATATATATATATATATATATATAAATATATAGATATATAGATATATAATTATATAGATATAAAATTATGTATCTATATATTTTTTTTTTCTTCACATGAAAATTGTGAAATTAATAATACTTAGGAAATAAAGTGATACAATTTTAGAACTGTACTTGAAGGGTTTTGTGAATTAAAATGTTTTTCCTTTTTTCGGTTTTCTTTGCTTAGAGCACTAACCCATACGGATTGAAACATAATGATACTTTTGGAACTTCGACTAGTGATTCAATTAAATCTTAGAAACTATTTTATTTTTTATTTTTTTCTGTTATACCTACACTGTTTTTATTTTCTAGAAAGTCACAGCCTTACAAGAACAATAGAAAATAATTGTTCGTGTGATGAAAAAGAAACAATTATATCTAGATCAAGCGTAAAAATCAAGTTACTTGAAGTCAAACAACAATCAAGCAATCTTGTATAAGATTAAGGTATTCAAGAGCATATTATTTTGATATTTTAAATCAGATGAATGTTACAATACACCATCAGCGGTTTCCACTATAAACAAATACACCTCTAGATCTATGTTTTTTTTAATGTTTTAAAATCTCAAAAATAATCATACACATTTGAAAAAGAAATGAAAAGAAAAGAAAAGGAAAAGAGGACTACTACTACCACTACATTTTTTTGGATTGAAATTTAAGGCTACAAAGAATCTACAATTTAACAAAGTTGTGATATCAATAACTATATTTTTGAATATAGAAGTCAATATCAAATATATCTAATATACTTTAAATGATACACATAGTGTAACATCAGTATTTTTATTCTAATCAAATTCTTATAGTAGATGTGACACATCCCATAACCAAGATAAATATACATATAAGAATTCATCAAAGTAAACATATATATAAATGTATGGATGTATATATTATGTAAATATGAATGTATTCAATAGTTGTTTGTAAGTTTTGGAATATTTGTTTACGAAATTTAATTTTGAGCATTTCTCTTGATTGTACACATACTTTAAAATGGCCATCAATTGTGCTATTTCTTTCAACAACTACAAATTGCTTAAACATCACACAAACTCATCCAACAATTCAAATCTTAAAAAAAGAATTGATTACTATGTTGAGAGAACTTAGTTTTAAGTAAAATAGTTTCAAATTAACAAGTAACTCTGTATTAAACTTAAAAAAATGCCGTAAGTGTAAATTATTTGTTAATTGCAAATAATAAATCTCATAATCACAAATGTTTCCATATTACATGTTTAAATACAGTTTCAGAGTTTTAGAATTTTGATAATATCATTGTCATTGCTTTTAAGCATTCATTCTTTTTTGTGGAATTATTAAACAATTCAAGTTTGTAAAGATTATGGAATAAGATGTATTTTTAAAATTGAAAAAAAAATGTATATAAATTCTTAAATAAATGATATTTCAGGGATTTGGAGGTACACACACAATTTGTCTAAAAGATTTTATACTAATTTTCTCATAAAAGTATAGAAGGAAACATTTCAGATTTGTATGAAAAAATGACATGATGTGGAAATCTCAAAGTGACTTGTCAAAAGAATGCACAAATTTACTATCTATATATGAACTAATGTAACTTCAAAGTTACAGTTGGTGATCAAATTAATATGTGTGTAAGCAATTTTGATTAGAAAAATGAAAATAACACGTCATCAATTTTAAGAGGTCATCAAATGTTATATCAGATTGTAAGAACTACCGTATTATCAAAGATAGCTGCACACACTTTTTATTTTTATTTTTTATAGAGTTAATACTTAAAATATGGTTAGAAGAATCCTTTATTAAATGTATATTTTGATCAAAGAATTATGATTGACAATTTTGCAGTTGATATTAACTTATTTTGTTACTTCATGCTTGGGGTAGAATTGAAGAATATACAAAAAATTGATGTGGGGATTAAATGAAACTAAAAAAGCACAACCTTTAGATAGAATACAAGTAAATATATTACAAACATGCTGCAATTATGAATTTGAATCACATGTATACCACACTGTAACAAACTTAAAACTATATATACATATATATATATATATATATATATACATTTTCACACATGTACATAGATACACATAGACAACTACAAATACAAGGGATTGGAAAGATGTAAACAACCCCACAAACATTTCCATGACACAACAATTTCATAAACCAATTACAACCTTATATTCATTTATACAATTACACCACAAGATTCCCAACTTCCAAAACTGAGTGGGAGGTGGGGGGGCTGGGCATTAGGGTTTCCTACATTCCCAGATAAAAACACATTGACATCAGGGTTGAAAAGAATGAATGCACAAATTGGCTCGATCTACAACAGACATAAGGCGCTACCAACATTATCATTTTCAACAAAAAAATAAAAAAAAATAACAAAAAATAAAAAAAACACACACACACACACACACACACACAAAATACAAAACACAAATCCTCGTAATCTACGCCGCGTTTTCGGTGATGGTCGCGCGCCGACAGCCGCCAAAATGCACCGGATGCACGCTACGACGCGAAGGGATTTGCAGTGAGTGCTATTGTTGTTGTTATGATCTAAGCAACCATGGTGTAAGGGTCTTGGCCTATCCGCTTCACAGCCAACATCTCTTCGACCTTGCTTGCCAGGGACTCATCGCACTTGCGGAACACACCCATTTGTCGCTGGATGATCATCTCCTTGGCGCCCATGATGTGGCCCGCGATGTTCTTCGCTGTCTGCCCCCGATCCTGGGCCGACATAGCTTGCCATAGAGCTCTTGGCTGCTCATAGTCGTCTTGCTCCGTCCACTTCCTGGGCGGTGTTCTACTCACCACTCCGCCGTCGTGCCTGCGTTTCATCGAACAGGGTGTAAAGGCTCATTAGTAACAAAACCAGGAAGATGAAGAATGCGCCCATCGTTTGAAATATTGTGGAAGCCGTTGTCTAAGACATTGTTGATATATGCGTATGTGTGTGTGAGGGTGAGTTGAATCACTTGTAAGGGTGCACGTCAGGTTGAGAAGGGTCGGGGCGAGGCAAATCCTCGAAGGAGTTGGGGTAATAGTTTGGGTTGCTGCCGCCGTTGTCACTGACGTTCATGAATCCATCGCGAGCGTAGGTTTGGACTTTAGCGAAGGGGCACCGGTTGACAGGAATCTGTTGCAGAGAATGGTGGAATGAAAGTTAGACGACATTTTTGGTAGAAATGATACTGTACCAGATTGATGAGGAATTGGACGACAGGAATGGGGGATGGATAATGTTTGGAGAATAAGGCACACGAGGACCTGCAAGTAATTTGAGCCTAGACGATATCGGCTGGCGTCATCGTAAGCGAAGAGACGAGCTTGAAGCACACGGTCTGGCGATGCTTCAATCCCGGGTACGAAATGTCCGGGCGAGAACGACGCTTGTTCCACTTCGGCGAAGTAATTTGTGGGGTTCCTGTCAAATTTCAGCTTCCCGACCTCGCGCAGTGGGTAATCCTTGTGTGACCACACTTTCGTCAAATCGAAAGGATCAAATCGGTACTGGGGAGCGTCCTCGAGAGGCATGACTTGCACCTTGAATGTCCAGGAAGGGCCATTGCCGTTTTGGATGTTTTGGAACAAATCCTCGGTGGAGTAGTCAGGATTGATACCTGCAAGCTCAACTGCGCGCTCGTGCGTCAGGTTCTTGATGCCTTGGTCGCTTAGGAAATGGAACTTCACCCAGTGCGCTTTGCCTTCCTTGTTGACCCACTTGTAGGTGTGGGAGCCATAGCCGTGCATGTGGCGATGGCCGTCAGGAACACCGCGTGGGGAGAATGTGATCAACACCTGGTGCAGTGACTCTGGAACCAGGCTGAGGAAATCCCAGAATGCATTTGGATCCTTCATATGCGTCGCTGGGTTCCGCTTCTGAGAGTGGATCAGGTCGGGAAACTTGATTGCATCCCGAACGAAGAAGACAGGTGTATTGTTCCCAACCATGTCCCAGTTACCTTCCTCCGTGTAGAACTTGATTGAAAACCCACGGGGGTCTCGCGCTGTGTCGGGGAATCCAGACTCACCTGTTACAGTGGACCAGCGTCCGAGGACTGGAGTTCTTTTTCCTACTTCGCTCAAGAATGCAGCTTTGCAGATGTCAGTGACATCGCTGCGCGCGAACACAAAACCAATGTCAAAACAAAAACAAAAAAAAAAAAAAAAAAAAAAAACGATGTATGTTGTGTTGTGATGCGTGGAGAAAACCAACGCTTTATTTAAGCCATGATCTCCCAGGCATTACCAATGTGGAGAGTTAGAAGCACTGAATGACAGGAAGAGAGGTAAAACATACTGAGTGACTTCAAAGTAACCGTGTGCACCCGCGCCTTTGGCATGCACCACGCGCTCGGGGATGCGCTCCCTGTTGAAATGAGCATTCTTCTCGAACAGGTGGAGGTCTTCGAAGAGCGTGTTTCCGCTTTCGCCGATTGTCAAACTGCCAAATGTCGCAAGGAATGTCAGAACTCTGCCTGATAGATCCGCATTCTAGTTTAACTTCTGATCTTCACACATTCAAAGACCTAACTAGCAACCTAGTGATGCCTGAATACTGCATTCCAATGTGACAACAACTTAAAATTCCATGTTTGGCATCAACAGAAAGCATTACCTGTTGTTGTCGTCGGAGACTGGGTGGCCGGCAAGGGTGGTGTACGTCGGCTGCTGCTTACTCACGCCCTCATGCACACCGTCAGACTTGGCCTGGTTGCTTGGTGGCGCCATGGCTGCCTGTTCCACCCCCGTTCAAGCGCTTTAATTTGGGTTGCAAACCAAACTTGAATTGAATGAGTACTATATTCTTCTACAACACTGTCAATCTCAAATGTATAATCTGCTGAATTTCTTCGAACAGTGAAGGCTTTGTGTTGTTTGGACAGCATTACGGGTCCGTGCACTATTTATATGGATTCCAGGGAGACAAGGCCAAGGACAAGTGTCAATCGTAGGATTGCTGGAATGAATTTGTGGTTAACAGCATTCGCACCGAGAAGCGAAAGGTCAAATACAGCAACGTTAATTCCACAGACTCCGAACACGTATAAACTCCTGCGCACTTATGACTGGGGCACCTTTTCAACGAATTGGGTAGTGGCGAATCCAACTGCAGAGGGTCGAAATGCGGTGTGAGAATCCAGGAAACAGCGATCGAAGCCCTCTTTCAGACATCTTTTTCCAGGACAACAACATATATCTGAAGCGTGCCCGAGGAGTGTGTGTTCGTCCACCGTAGCGCCAGCGCAACAACTCCTCCACAGATTCGAACTGGGGTGCACTAATGGACCCAAGCACAGAGAATTATGGGTGTCACGGAGACATGTGCCATCAGAGAGACAAGGGCTCTGGAATCGGCGTGAGCTTCTATGTGGCACAATCACGCAGAGCAGCTAAAGGTGTGAGTTTTGGAGAGGAAGCCAAGTGGACAAGCCTCTGGTTTTTATTTCAATATTCTTTTGTCTTTATTTCTTACTCTGGTTAGCTTTCCTTTTCTTCTTCCTCCTCCTCCTTTTCCTCGTTAGCACAATCTGTGGTGTGTGCGATCTGCTTCGTGGTTGCAGTTGGCCAGGGACGTGGCCATGGTGACATTGGCTTCATTGCGGGGACACTGTCGCTCATTTACTGCCGAGCCATGTCCCCACTTCTCTTTCCACTCTTCCAAATCTCTCCATCCCCCCATTTGCTCAATTTCTCAGTAGCATGATGAGCGAGTGAGTGTCACATGCTCCGTCACTGCAGTTTGCGCCTACTTTCTTTTTATTTTTTTATTTATTTTTCTTTCCTTTTCCTTTGCTACTTGTGCAAAAGTGGGTAATATTGTGGGTGAATAGAAGTCAAGCTTGTGGGTTGTTGTTTGGTCATGTTACTAGATTCCAAATTTGAACCAAGGAATTCTATAAGATATAGGTGCCATTTATTGAACACAATACATTGTGTAGTGTCTATTTGTTATTGAAGTTGGAAAATTGTTTGCTTGGTTTGTTTAATTTTTTGTTTTTTGTTTTTTGTGGTTTAAGTTGGTTTCACATGTTTTGTTTTTATTGAAATGGATCATACGGTGTGATTGGTTTTGCCTCAATATTATGTCATTTATTGAAATATTAAATTATTTTTTTGAAACTATATAGTTTAAATAGATACACCACACATAGATGTATAATGTTTTGAATAGATTGATGATACTATGAAATTTAACACCAAAATTTTTTTACATAAAATTTTAGTTTAATTAGGAGTCAAATAAAAAAAAATTGATTGTAACTTATCAAAAAAAAAAATGTTATTTTGAAAAATATTGAATAAAAGGATAATGAATAATGGACATACATATTTATTCCAATAATTATTTAGATAATATGAATAGCTAAAAGTTGTTGCAAAAATATCACTTAATTGATCTTGTTTCATATAAAAAAGATCATATGTACATTTTGAATTACTATAGCTATTTTTACGCAATAATCATAATTTATCCTAACCTTAAGTATATCGAGGAGGTGACATGGTAATATAGATAATGATATATAGAAGTCATGATGATGCAAAGAAATGAAATGGTATTGAAGCAAATGTAAACAAGCTATAATAATTCAATGTGAAATTTGATGTGAAGGTAAGATGGTAGCTCAATGAAGTAATGACATTGTACAAAGTGAAACAAGAAAATGGTTGCATCATGTGAAGGTGGCAAGAAGTGAATTCATCCTCTTTGAGCAATGCATGTTAAAGTTTGCTAATACCTCTCCTAAATTTACATTAATGATTTAATTTTTGATGGTGCATTTTTAATTTGTCCTAGTTGATGCCATTAAGTAGCTTAATTATATATTAAAAGACTTTTTGTTGGAAAGTTATTTGCCATTTTATTTTTCTGTTATCTTGTTTTTATTTTTTTATATCTTGTATAAGTAATTGAGTTATCTTTGTTGCATTGCTTTGTTTAGCTACAAGTTGTGCTTATTATAGTGTAGTTCATGTTATTAATCCTTCAATGAATTAATGTGTGAATATTTTATCTATTGCTTTTTAGGTTGTTAATCCTTGTATTGTAAAATAAGAGCAATGAAGTTATTAATTTGCAATAGTGGTTGTGTTTTTATCATAGGTATATTTAATTCATATGTTGAGAGCTAGGATTTTTTTAAGATTTGATGTTCAAAATTTCTATGTAGTATGTTAAGGTCATAGCATAGGTATCTTCACGTCTTAATCAAAATATAAGATGTACATCTAGAGGAATTGAAGCACAATTATTGAAGGTAGTGAAAGACTTTGTCTAGTGATGTGACATTTGTTCAAGGTCAAAAATTCCTTGTCATCAATCCTATGGACTTCTCAAACCATTATCCATTTCAAAACAACCATGGTCTTCTATTTCTATAGATTTTATTATAGATCTTCCAGTCTTATGTTTTTATAACTCTATATTTGTGATAGTAGATTATTTCACCAAGATGGCATATTTTGTACTATGTACAAAATCTATCACAAGTGAAGAAATAACCAAGCTTTTTCTTAACAATATTTATTACTATCATATATTATTTAGGCATATTATATCAAACATGAGAACTTGGTTTATATCAAGATTCTAAAAAATACTTTCTAAGATTCTAAAAGAGGACATAAAAATAACTTTAGCTTTTCAACTTCAAACTGAAGGACAAATAGAGTGTGTAAATCAAGTTTTGGAGTAGTATTTGAGGTGTACCATCAACTATCAACAAGATGATTGGACAACTCTTTTGTCATTGGCAAAATTTGCTTATAATAATATGGTATATTTTTCTATGCAACAAATAATTTTTTTTGTTAATTATGATTATCATCTATGACTTGATGCTTTTGACTTTTCAAAAGTTGATAATCTTATAGTAGAAGATTTAGCAAATCATTTATCTGAGCTACATACAATAATGAAGGTGCGACTAAAAGAGACTCAAGAACAACAAAAGAACAATATAGATGTTTATTGCAAGAAACAATCTTATTTTCATGTTGGTGATAAAACATGGTTATTTTGTCGTAATATTAAAACTATTTCTCCTTGTGATCAATTGGATTATCACAGATTTGGACCATTTTCTATTTGTGAACAAGTCAATCTAATTACTAATTGATTACATCTACTAAAGACTATGAAAATCTATCTCGTATTTCACATATCTCTTTTAGAACTATATATGATAATAATTTTTTTGAGAAGAAGACAAATACCACCACCTCTTATAGAAGTATGTAATAATCACAAATTCGAAGTAAAAAAAGTCTTAGACTCAATGTGGCATCAACATAGGTTGAAATATCTTATTTATTGGCGTAGATACAATATTAGCACATACATATGGAAACTAGCAAACAAATCTTATAAATGTAGCAAAGAAGGTCAAAGCTTTTTATTGACAATATCTACCAAAACTAAAATGAAGGATAGAAAACCTTAGTTATAAAAGAAACAAAATTTAGAAAAGATTGCATTCTACCTTCTATTCTTGTTTATAGATTTTGTATAATTATAGTATTAATGAAATGGAGAACCAATAGCCAAGGAATTTAACTCAAAAATCATTATTTGCTGATTTATCACATAAAACATTACAATTATCACAACTTTTAAGATAACATAATAGAGATGAAGACCTTCAAGAATGACATGTTCTTCTTTGAATAGATGGTAAGATACAACACATTTGATATCACAAGCTAGGAAGAGACTCTCAATATTTGGTGATTTTATTGGAGGTAAGAACAATTTTTGATGGTGTTACAAATATTTTTTTTGAAAGAATTTACAAACATTTCAACAATGATCAAATAATGGGGTGGTTTTCTTGCCTTGGAATGGGACATTATCAATGGCTCAAACGACCTATCAACTACCTTCAAAGGGAATAAAAATCAAAGTATATGACAAATATAATTCACCATAGCTTAGACTTCTTCAATATGTAATTATTGTTCCTTGTGGAACTCGTCCCTAGAAGAGAAGGTAATGTTATGAATATATATATCTACTATAATTTTTATTTAGATAATATAAATAGATAAAAGTAGATAAAAATAGATTAATTTTATAATATCTTTTAGAAAAGCTTTCTAAAATCTTTTTAGATGCTATTTTGACTTTACATATATTTTTAGTTGATTGGTACGTTAGAAACTTAGTCAACAAACTAACCACATGCCACATGCATTGGTAGTTTGCAAAACAAGTTAATTATGTTGTGCTTATATAGAAAACTTATCTTATAAGTTAAAATATGTATCATGCAAAGTCAACATATTTTTGGAGGTCCTATAGAACATCACCACATAGATCTTAGGTAGATAATATATATAGAGGCAAGAGTGAAGCCTTCTTCACTCTTATCAATTCTTTTCTTGTTTTTATTCTAGTTTCAAGAGTGTCTAGTTTTAAGAATCTCTAGTTTTTTTTGTCTTTTGGCAATAGTCATTTTAATTTTTTTTTAAAATAAACATACTCCTCTATTTTTATTTTGTCATATTTCTTTGAGAGAATTTCACTTATTTATTTACTTTCATTGAGTTCTTGTCCTTAACACTTAGAAATCAATTTTGATATGGTTTAAAAGACAATATCAAAGATTTATTGTTGATGATTCTAAGAATAATTTTATTAAAATAATTTATTGCTTAAGCCATTATATGTGACAATCAGCTCTTTGAAAGATGTGAAGAATAAAGATTTAATTGAAGAACTACAAGTCAAGTGATGACAATGTCATGTAGTAATACGGCCATTAGATATAAGAAAAAAATATTTTACTATAGAAGAGCCTAATTAAAAAGACATAGTAAAAATATAAATAAAAGATAGGCACATAGTAAAATCTTATAATATTAGGAATTGCTTTTTATGAAAATGGATTCT